CGGGGCTTTCGCCGCGAAACCTGCGCAAAAAAAGAGAGAAAAAAAAAAAGCTAAATATCTGTTGTTGTTTTTTCCCCTTAAATTATTTTTGTAATGGTAGTTTTTTTGTCTCTTTTCTACATTTTACTCAATATTGATGCAGCTATGGTACATCTGTTAAAAATGATTCAAAAACCCATGTATTTTAGACAGTAGGATGAGAAAGACTGAGCATGCTCGACCTTTTATATCAATTTTTACAGCATTTCTAAGAATAAAGGAAAAAAAACCTATTTTAAATCCACCCCACTCTCTGTTTGCTCTGTTGGCCGCGCCGGGCGAAGGCAGCGCGTGGAGACCCTGCGAGGCCCCGGGGCAGGGGCACCTGAACGGGGAAGGAGCGAGGGGCTGGCCGGGCTGCAGCGCGTTACCTCGCCAAGGCCGGGAGCTCTGCGGCTTCTCCCGGAGCGGCACCGCTGTCCCAGTGCAGCCCGCGGTGACCCTCCTGCGCCGCCACGTCCCCAGCTCGTGCAGCCACGCACACGGCTGTGGGGAGTGCCTCGGTGCGGGTGCTGCTCCAGAGCAGCGCTGAGGTGCTCGCGCACGGCTGCGCTCGGTCATGTCAGGCCCCGCACAACAGCACCGCACGAGCAGGCCGCGTTCACCGCGTGTTCAGGCGAGGCGCACGAAGCAGGTCTGGGAGGCAGTGAACACGCGAGGATCAGGTGACGTGTTTGAACATCCCCAGCATTTTCGTACTTGCAAGGATGCCAGCACGTGTGGGACAGCAGCAGAAAAGCGGGGCTGATACCACAAGCATCCCCAGGACCCAGCACTTCTCTACAGAGAGAAATGTTAGTGATTCCAAGCCTGAAGTGAGCAGTTTGGTATCCCAGAGATAGGAACAGGCTGACTTGGCCTCCTTGCTTAGAGCAGAACGGGTCCTGAAGCGTTTAGAGGGGAAAGGGAGATGGAAGGTGTAGTTAGTCCCTAGCAAGCGTGAGGCTGTCAGCTCCAGTGCTGGACCAGCTCCTGCAGCGACAGCTTCGTGGTTGTGTTTCTGCTGGATAATCACGTCCCGAGCACTGCGCAAAACAAGCACCTTTCCCCGTGGGCCTGCTATTCTGTTAATATTAATATTGTGCTCTATACCACTAAGGAAAAAAAACAAAAACACCCTTTGACTAAACTCTCGCATTAACTCTTGCACTGATTCTGACGCAAAAAACATATTGGATGATTTTGATAATATTTATCTGATTCTAAGGTTATAACCTTGATCTGTAATCCATGTTTCCATACTGTCAGGGTGAGTTACACGGCCTGCAAACCAGTTTATTCTTTACACATAATTGAGACTGTACAATAAAACACCCGCTCTGTGGGAAGCTATAGATAACACGGTACTTCCATGTTTAGGTCCCAATTAGCTAGAAAACATTAACTTTGTCTGCCTTTGACATTTTAAAACATAAGCCTTGTTCAAATCGGTGTTTTATAATATTTATTGCAAGATGACAACAAATACTACAGTTCAGATTTAGCACATTACAGTGTTTTGCAGCAGGTAGTACTTCTGGAAACCTGACAAAACTGTCACCCTAATAGGTTGATATTCACTGTCTATAGCAAAATATTTATTTCAGAAATAGTAGTAAAACATTTCCCATTGACATATAATAAATATGGCATTACAAAAGAAATCTCTGAATTTTTTACAACCATTCAAAATTCCGGAAAGAGATCCTCTACATTTATAAACATTAAACATACCAAAAAACTGTATTACTAACTTCTGAATTTATAAGAAAAAAAAAACAGTTCAGAAAATTGAACTGATTTGTTTTTATAGGCTTTTCACTGTTGGCAATAATGTGCTTTGTAAATCACAGTTTTAATAAACTATCTCAATACTTATCACGCTGGCACTGCACATTATCTATGGCAATAGTTAACAAATAACCACAATACAAAGTCCAGAGATACTGCAGGAGCTGGCGGTGTCGGGTTCAGCTTCTTGCTGCTTCCAGAAGGACGATTTCCTCCAAGCCAACGCGGTCGGGGTGGCTGCTGGCCGAGTGGACGTAGCAGCTCGGAAACCCCACCTCCCTTCCCAGCACGCTCCTCACCTCATAACTCTGCAGTGATAAAAGCATGGTGATTAAAACAAACAGTCCTGGACATTCTGTTCTGGGCCACGCACAGCTCCACAGATACAGGGTGTAAGGTCCGCTTCCAAGAGGCTTTATTATTATTATTTAATCCTCAAAAAGAAAAAAACTCCATTCGAACTACTGAAAAAAATCATATTTGACTAGTGAGTAAATTAGGTTTTCAAGTAGATCTCACTCCTGTTTAAAGTGGTGCTTCCTCACCAGGCTCTTAAAAATGAATTGTAAAATTCATTATAAAATTCAATTTGCTTCCTTTGCAAAGTTTCCTTACACAGGTTTTCCACGTGGTCGGCATGTATATCCATACACACACAATCCATGCTGAGTGTCATTTAACAAATACCCATTACATCAGTCAACAGAGCTACAAAAGAAAGGTCAAAGGAATGTAACCCCCCCAGTCCTTTTGAATTGGGTGCCCTTCTCCGCTCCGACAGGTCCACCCGCCGACCCACCCGGCTCCTCCTGCTTGAGGAGCTGCCCCTGTGCGCGGAGCAGGGCCCGGCGCTGGACGGGCTCCCGGGAAGGAGCCCACGGCTCACCCTGCTCATAAGGGCAGCTCACAGAGCGTCGCCCGCGCTGCCTCCATGGGGTCCTGCCAGGACCACCCTGGCACCTTCCCACCGCCCGCGTGTGCTGGGCACGGCCGCGCTCCGGCCTGGTAACCCTGAGCCATATCACGGGCCCCATTCAAGGTACAAACAACTAAACAACCCCCCCGCTTTTGTTTTTTCCTTCTTCTGGACTATTTTTACCCAAGCCCAGTTCTCCAGCGCAATTCACAGTGCAGCTGCACAAGCAGCTCTGTGGCTACAAGCAAAGGGTCGCCACAATGTAGGAACCGGTGACCACGGGCATGGCTAACACCAACCTCCCTGCCAAAGACATGTCTACCTACACCCTTGAAAACTCAGCAGCATCAGCACAAAATACCTTCCCAAGTGGTATTTCTTGTGATTAATCTTTGTTGAGAGGTGCTTTATTTTTAAAATGCAGCAGTTGGGAGATGAAAATATTTAAGAAAAATAAAGTTATCCTGTATTTCAGAGAGGGAAAAAAAGAGTCTGTTTTCTATGTGCTAGTCTACTACATATTGATGTTACAAAAACTGCAACATGAGAAAGAGATTGTTTAATTTTTAATAAGTGGAAGAAGAATGATATTTTTGTCAGCCTTTAACAAAAACAGATTGTAAAACATACATAGCCAGCTTAACAGCTACTAAAAGAGCATACATATTTTGTGTATTTCTCATATCTCCTTGCTTAAGTGAAATACCTACCCTCTAGCATACAAAGAATAATTCACAGTTACAGCGAAACCTTCCACTTCAAATATTATCAGCGCATCACTTCTTACTTAAAACCGTGCAGCTGGTAGCAGCAAACTACTGAAAGCCTGTGTAATATGGGGAAACCAGAATGGCCCACCGTGTGCCACCTAACGAAGGTATTTTCCTGGGATGAGTGTGACCAGCTGAGCTGGCCTTTGCCTCCTTGATGTGCATCACAGCAGGAGGGCGGGAGATCTCCAGCTCCCACCCGGCTAAATCCCCCTCTGGAGGCGCCGCTCCTTCCCCCGTGCAGCCAATGGCAGCCACGCACCTACCTGAAATGCCTCCCTGCCCGCGATAAATGTGGGTCACTGTGCCAAATGTCAGGGCTCTTCTGATAGCTCAGATTAAAGGAATAACTAACTACTTGGCGATTACGTAAGCTGTACTTTAGCCCACGAATTCCTGTGGCTTATGTGTGTCTTGCTTACACAGATCCCAATTAAAAAACATTCTCTTGCACGCATTTTGCAGATTTCTCTACTACTAATGCCTATAAGTAATTTATGTCCTAACAGAAAATAGTTTATAGGTTTTAGGGAAGCCGTCTGGAAAGCTGAGCTTCTGGGACCACATCTTCATGGTCTTTTGGATCAGACAGAAAATGGTTGGCCAGTAAAACGGAGCACAGCCCCTGCCTTGGCCTGGAATGGCCTGCAGGCCCCAGGGCGGGCGGCAGCGATGGCGGGGCAGGCCCGGCCGCCTGTGCCGGGGCCACAGCAACACCCGTCTCTCAACTCCCCTCACATCCAAGCAACTCCCGGCTGGGCACAAGAGAAAACACCTTTTTTTCCCTAGTGGAATCTCCTACCGCTCCTAGAGGAGCACTGTAACAGCCAGATCCTCCTGTTTTGAGGCTTTCAAGACTCTGCGAGGCAAAGCCTGGGCTGACCTGCTCCGACAGCAGCACCAGCCGAGCCGCGCGGCCTCCAGGAGTCCCCTCACTGCTGCGGTTCTAGTGTCCTCCCACTCGATCACAACATTTCTAGTATTCTGTTTCTGGGTAGTTTAAACTTCTTTCGTCAAGTTTAATTACACTTACCCCATCCTCAGCGGGGGAGGACGTCAGCAGGGAAGAGATGGTCTGTTGTAACAGCTGCAATGTGAAAATTAACAAGAACTTATGGATGCAGAAAATTTCCTTCGCAGGTTAAAACAGTTGTGTTAAACAAGCATTAATCAAGTTAACATACAATGGTTTTGTTTCTCTCACCAAGAAACAGAAGAGATGACACCAAAAAATGCTCAGAATGGGAGTATGAAAATTCACATTCCTTTAAAGATGTGGACACCCCAGGGTGAAAGCAGTGATTGTACTATTTATTCGAATGAGGACTGCAGAATTGGATTCTTAGTACAACAAAGTCCAAATCTCACATCAGATTAAATTAGGAGGTTTATTTTTAAATTTCTTCTCACAGAGCTATTTATAAAAGTACTGTTTAGAATATTTATGTGTCTATGCACACCTAGCCTCATTATGCTCAATACACTCAAACTCATTTTGTAGCATACCTTTACTTTTACTGTACTTTGAGAGCGAGATGGACAACTCAAGAAGACTTCCAGCTGCATTTTTGTAACCGGTGAAATTACAACTTCAGAGCACTGGTTGCAATATAGCAATTTGCTGAAACATGCAAACGATGAAGGGGAAAACATGGAAAAATTATCCATTTAAAAAAAAATCATCACACAACCAACATCTGATCTACTCTGTAAAATGCCTTGCTGATAGACATGGTAGAAAAGTCCGCGAAGGAGATTCAACTGATAACAGCAAATAAGAGTTCTGTTGGTAAAGATAAGTAACTTCCTTGGAGGACATAAATTCTTCTAGCAAAAGGAATCTTCCTTTCATAAGCTTCGCCAGACATGGAGGAGGCTGCTGGTCACAGCCACCTTGTCTAAGCAGATATCAACCTCACACCCTTCTAACAAACAGTTATGGAAAAAAGATATTATAGTTTTGGCCTAAATAACATGGATTTAGGCCCTTAGTCAGCAAGCACTCAATGTTTTCAGCATGCACTTAAGCCATATGCATAAAATTAAGCACAGCAGTAAGTGTTTGCTCGAACTGAGGGCTTGAATGAATGATGTTGATGATCAGCTATTCTCCAGATAAAACAAGAGTCCTTCAGAATACAGAAAAACCTATGAACTAAATTACTATGTATACATGCATACCCTCTTATTTTTTGCATGCCAGCAGTTAGTATTTATACAGTTAGTATTTATTAGTATAGCCTTACTGAGGTTTTCGGCTTTTTCCCCACCAAGAGGTAGATTGTACAAAGCAAACACAGTAAAGCTTTTCTTATTTAGAGAAATTTTATCTATTCCACAGTGATTAAACCCCTCCTACTTTTTCTAAACTTTTTAAAGCTTTTCCAGTAGAAAGAACCCCTTTTTGTGCTTTCTGCACTCTGCTTGCCCTCTTACTACAAAGTTTTTCTCCTTTCAGGTATCTCAGACTCTGCAAGAGCAAGCGGGCTAAACAGCTAAGGGGACGCTTCCCACCAACATGCCTGAGTGATGGGGACTTGGCACTGCAGCTGGTAACAGGTGATAGAAGATCAGCACCCACATCTGTGACACTCATATTGCCAGAAGTAGCCTGCATTATTCTTAGAAAGGTTATATACTCAATAGGCCTGAATGCATCTCTTTCTTTTTCACATTTCTGTAACTTATTGCAAGGATCACAGATGAGTTTAAAAAGGAGGTGAATTAGTGGTACACGTGGTAACGATGCAGGACAGAAAACCACAGAAACTAGTGTTCAAGGACCTTAAAATCAGACCTATGAGTTATGTGGCACGTGCATTAAATTAATGTTGTACTGCAGGGGGCTGAAATCTTTAATATTCAGGATTGGCTTGCAAAACTTTGATTGCTACAAATTCAACCCACTTAATATCTGCTTGTATCTTTTTTAATAAATTAATCTAACCTTGCTGCTATTATCTGTTCATCAGCAATAAAAATACTCTGTCTCAGTGCTAGGAAGGAACAAAGTGCAGCCTGTGCCTGCAGGAACGATTGCATCACCTGTTGCTGTTATGGCTACATCTGCAGAACACCTGGAATACTAAGGAGCACACTGACTCTTACCTGTCCTGGGAATAAAGTTCCAATTTTCCACTGCCACATCTGTCACAGGTAGGCCAGGAGTAAGCAGTGCTCTCATTAACCCCAACAATAGTGCCTAAAAAAAGAGAAAGAAATTCTTACAAAATACTAAATGTAAGCTATCAAATTCCTGCCTTCACCACAGGCTTGATCTTATCTTAAGAATAAGACTATTTCTTTCATGATGTCAGAGCAATAATCAACTTTTCCGACAATGTCTCCTTCTTTCTCCTTCCACCTTCCAAAAAGCAGTGTCAGTGTGGCAGAATGCACCAACAGCCTAACGACAGAAGGAGAGAGATACGAAAATCACTCTTCCCAACAGGTTCAGAAGTCTTGGTTTAGGATTTTTTTGTTGTTGTCATCTGGAGGTGATTTTTTCATGCTGGACCTTTCATGTTTCCTTGGCAAGAAGTACTTGCAAAAGTCACCAGGTCAGATGGCTTGATATCAATATTTAGGAAACACAGGGCAATTAGGAGACACAACCTTTTCAGAAACAGCGATGCCAGCGAAATCCCATTAACAATGGAGTTATTCTTCATTTACATTGATTTAACAGAGATTAGATCTGGCCCACAGATGTAAGTGTGTGCCTAAGAAGGGAACGCCAAAGCTACTTTGGACTAATATAAAGGGCCTTGCTAGCTTTGGCAAGAAAAATATATTCAGAGTTTTATGAGAAGCCAGTAAGAAGTGTTTAAGATTTTATGGTAATGATATGCTTAAGTAATTACTAGCATTATTTATGGAAAGAGCACAAGTGTTTTGAACTGTACAAAGTGGATCACCTGTAAGAGCAGAACTGCGATAGAATAAACCCTCATTCCAGTACAACAGAAGTATAGGGAGCAAGAATCTCCAACAGATGCAGCAAGATAAAGCCTTGGAGTCTAGGGAGCATTTACACTGACTGCAAAGCAGGGTGGCAATCCTTCCCTTTCCTTACTTTCCACTCTCCTAAGACAAGGACTGGCACAAAGGTGGGAGAGACATATCAGCAACAAAACTTGAATTTGCTTTAGGAATTCAAAGGACATCAAGTCTGAACATCCTGCTTTCTCAGATACATTCAGATTCTCTATTACAACAGACAACCTTTCTCAGACATTTATGACCCAATTTTCATGCACAGAACAGGGCAGGGGGTACCCTGACAGAATCAATCTGGGTAGTTTGGAGGGAACCTTTGGAATGCTGGAACGTTACAACAATCACTTTAAATAGTTTCAGCTTTTATGATACACTAGGAGTTTCCATCAGCTGCTATGATGTAGGACACTTCCTGCCACAACACAGGCATGTTTCCTCCGTTCATGAAAAACTGCCTCCACTACCAAATTAGCTTGCTGAATAGGTGTCTTTTTTGTCACAAGAATTTCACCTTTTCATTTCAACACAGCATTCTTAGATCTGTTTCTTCCCTCAGAGCCTTTTCAGTTGTCTCCTCCTCAGTTTTGCACTACATTGCTGCTGCAGGAGGCAAGGGCACAAGCAACACAAATGCACAGGAAGAAAATGAACCAGAATCATCCTGGTTAGACAGTGTGCAGGACAAAGGCTTATTCTGACACCAGTGCACAGCCCCTTGTGGAAGCAACAGATCAGATAACCCAGGGAGAGCCATTTGCAGCCTCTTCGCAGGCAAAGAGATTGCTCAAGTTTAAGCTGCCCAACTGCTGCATGCCTGGTCAAGGTTTGTGATTCTCCCTGAGAGAAGTCCAGAGACTTGTCACATATTCTGCCAAGATCCTTATTTTAAATGGAAACATTGAGCCATAAGTTGATTCTCACATCTACTCGGCGTTTTCCTGTGTTGTGATCAACATCTCCAAGACTGTACAGCATGAACTGACAAAGTTTAAATCATCCTAACCACTGCTATACAGGAAAAAGAGGTCAGAAATCAACTTGCAATGAACGGCGCTGAGAAATTGAATCTCTGTTGACCCTGAGCTCAGAGCAGAGAATGACAGACCCATCTTTAAAAGAATAAACTTGGCAGCAGTAAGTGACCACTGGCTTTCACTCCTCTGCTGAAGAGCAACACGCTGCCCGTTGTAGAGCTGATACGACGGAGCCTCTCTGAGACACTGATGAACTCAGTGGATCTCTCTGGATCACAGCACAGTCCTTCTGGGGGGAGGGAGAATCTGACCAAGTACTACTGGAAGACTTCACTGGCTGAACACTAGTGAAAATATCTAAATACAAGTTGCAGCAGGGAATATTCCAAATAAATATTAACAAAAAAAAATCTTCCCAGGGAGTGAGGTTGGGCCTTGAACTGCTTGCCCAGAGAGGCTGTGCGATCACCATCCTTGGAGACACTGGTTCATGTGAGTACTCCGAGGCCCCAAGCATCCTGACGCAACTCTGCAGTTGGCCCAGCTTTGAGCAGGAGTTTGGGCTAGATGAACTCCAGAAGTTCCCCACAAACACAGTTATTCTATGATTCTATTTATACACCTGCTAAACTCTTTCCTAAATTTCCCTTCCAAATAACGACTCGTCTGGCCAAGCCTGGCAGGCAGGACGGTCTGCACCCCCTCCCACCAAACTTGGCATCCCCGGCGGCGCTGATGCCGTGATTAATTGCTGCATCTTTGGACAGGGAATTGAATGACCACCTACATTTTTTTCACTGACTAAGAAGATGTTTTTCCAGTGGAGCCTCCTTAAGAAGGTATCCTGCCAAATCCCGGAGTGTGGGAGAAGGAGCAGCGGCGACAGAAGGACGGGCAGGAGTGACGCTGCAGGAGGAGGCAGCGTCTCCGCGGCACCTCCACGTGCAACAGGAGGCTACGCACCGCGCACGTCGGTGACCAGAAGTGCAGGAAGTGAAAGGAGGGCAGCAGTGAACACTGGAACCCAGTACAGACTGCCTCACGCTGCGAGAAGACCTGAGTTTCTCTAGAAGAGGTAGAGATGGAGAGGGAATTCCGCAGCCGTATCTTTTCCTGCATGAATTCCTCTATTGGGTACATTTGTTCTCACCAACAAAGTAGGGTTAATGCTGTTAACTCTGCTTCTTCATTAGCAAGACACAAATGCTAACCAAAGAGATTTAAGAACAGTGCCTAGCTATCATAAATGCAATTAAACTAGTTTAGTTACAATAGCACATGCACACAAAAGGAAGTGAAATAGGTAGAAGTAGCATAGGTATAAGAAAAGGCATTTTCTATTCTACATGAGTCCAGAAGTGTGGGAACATACTGATAAAAGCTACCTAGACAAATTTCAGCTTAAACTAGACAAAGACAAGATTGTAGGATTAAGGGTGTCATTCTTCCATATATAAGGACAGGGAAAGCCTGACACCTTTGAGGTATGCAAAGGAAATGCTTGTTTATACAAAGAATCACAAAGGCTTTCTGTGCTTTGCAGGGAAAAAAAAAAGGAAGGAGAGAAATATTTTGCTTTATCCTAGTATATAGACTGTCACACAGTGACAAAAGAAGAAAGGCATTTCTTTTGCTTGGTATATAAAAAGTAAGAGCGGGGAAGTGATAACTGTTAGCACAACTACTGAAAAAGTTGAGAAAAAGAAATGCCAAAAAGTATTCCATAACTGGTGATAAAAATATTTTCATGCAACTCACAATATTGATGGGAGATGTGCATAATGACCAAGGCCTAGAGTGAAGTGCCTGTAGTTGTGTTTGTTTTTCATTATGCAATTTTAGAGTTTAAGATTTGTCAGTACAATGTGCTCATAGATTAATCATGGAGACATTGCTAACCAGTGGCTCTAGCAAAACAGTAGTTTCTTTTTTTTTCATTAATGGTTCTGAGTGGGTTTTTTAGTTGTTTGTTTTTTGTTCTGTTTTGCTGTAGTATATTGCTTTAGAGCTGGCAGGCTTCATTACTACACTTTGGTACCATTATTTACCATTATTTTATAGATCCTTTCAAACGTTTCAGTGAGCACTTGAAGGTGTACAGGTGAATCAGTATCAGGAATTTTCTACAAGGGTTACTGTAGTCTTAAGAGTTAAATTAAGAAAGAAAATTGCATCTAAACCCACATTTTTTTTT